AGTAGCTTGTTTTTGACTACTTTCGTGAGTTTGCCGATATTTTACGTTCTACTTCAGAGTATTTACGGAATTTTAGCCGCTTTTCTTATTAAAATAGCAAGCAGTTTCTTTTCTGGAATGAATAAAAGAAAAAAGGCGATTATTTTAATAGAGCTGGCGAAAATACATGAAAAGATAAAATCTTCGATAAAATGAAGAATTAAAATCCCACAGGTATTCGTGAGCCTGAATAAGCTCGATCAATTTCGATTCTGTAAAAGTATTAATCCTCTGACTATCCGCCATGATGATGAACTATTTTCAATGTTGTCACTGTATGACGTGGCATAAAGGCGTTTGTTGATTGGATGCGCGTTTGCAATCGTCGCGAGTAGAACAAACTTTTTGTTTCTAGTTGCGATTGCAGTCGCGCCGGTTTTCGAGAGGGATTACCAGTTAACGGAAATAGCCGTTGCGGTTGCAGTCGCCTGCGCGGCTGGAAATCGCATAGTGTGACCAGGGCTTAAGGATTTATCGACCTGTCCAGATTCTGATCCTAGGTCCCCTAGAGCAGTAGGCGCTCCCTTGATCGCTTGACCATTCGGTCGTCAAACCGTCAGACTAAGTAGTGAATTAAAGTAGCTATTACGTAACAACCATTAATATCTTTATGTAAAATATACATTTTATTTTTAAACCGATTTACATCAATAAATATGAAATTCATTTATTTATTTATTTTTTATTATATAATAAATTTTTATAATACTGTATTTGTAAATTTTGAAATTTTTCGAACGAAGAGCCTCTACCGTCAAAAATTGGCATTAACGTAGAAAAGATCTGAGAAGAACACGTTCGATTATATTCTATTTACTGTTAGAAGGTGAGGTATTTACCTATTTTCTTGATGCTTATACTAAAAAATCGATTAATTTCATTTTTCTATAAACAAATAATGATTGAACACGTTATTGTCATGAAAATTTCACTATTCAAGTTTCAAAAATTTTATTTTTAGGCGAGACAGTTTTGGTTTAAAACTTTCGGTTAAGCGCGCTGCCATTTTAAATTTCGATAAATCCCCAAAGTTCAGGAAATTAATTCAATTAATGCCTTTTTTAAAATATTTTTTTAGGTGTATTTCATGCATAAAAGTGCTTACAAATGCAATGTAATATATTAATAAATTGTTAATTTGACTTAAGCACCTTTAAGCACGAATTCTTAGATGCCATTTATATTACGTGAATGTCAATTAATGTGGGTTTTATTAATTAATTTCATTTAAGTTTAACTGCAGCAAATGCTGAAAAACAGAAGCAATATCTTTCCTGCATGTGCGTCAAAATCTAATTTAAATGGCAGTGTCATCAATGATCTGTGTACTGATGTCTAATGATGTGCTGATCTTGGCACCGCTAACTTTTGAATCTGTACTTTCGTTGTTGACTGGTTGGACCTTCGACTTTATTTAGCATAGGAAGTGTAGGGAGTTGACTGCCTGTGTCATGTAATCTTTGGCCAGCTCTTGCTGAGTAGCTTGTTTGGCAACATATACAGGCTTGAAATTTTGTTTGTGAATCAATTTGTTCAAAAAGTGAGTAGTTCAAAAACTGAGGATTGACTGCAGTTTGTTGAGGATTGATTTGGTAATTGGGATCACCTTTGTACTGATGTCAATTGTGAGATTACAGTTTGTTCCATTGATATAACAGTATTAATATTTGATTTGTGGTATTGTGTGAGTGCACTCATTTAATGTCTGTTGAATGAATATGACCATGTTTCTTGTTGTTAGAATATCTACCTAAAGTTGTCTTCCTGTTTTTATTGACACTTGTTCTTAAAAATCCTTTTTCTTTGCTTCTCAAAGATTTTTTGCAATGTATTCAGATTATTATGAGTTTATGGATAAGGTATTTATGTTGTGATGGAGATCATCTTGATTGTGGATATGTGGATCAAATTGATATGTACAGTACAGTACATTCTCTGCCTTGCTGGTGATCTGGGGCTATATATATTCTAGTCACTTATCTCTGGTCTCATTTTCTAGAGATAGAGATTCTGGGTAGCTTATAATGATCTCATCTTTGTTGTTGATGTCTTGATGTTACTAGGTTGATAATATATGTTTAGGTTATCTGCACACTCAACACAATATAGAATTTTAACTTAATGAAATTGTAAAATTTTCGAAAATACAGAGTACAAAATTATAGATCACATGATGAAGAAAACCCAAGATTCAAATAAAGCATGTAGTTTTGACAAACATTTGTATTTGTAAACTTTAAAGAATTAAAAGCTAGTTGCTTTCTTTCTTCAGTAACATATCACACAAGGAACCAGTTGTTTATGTAATTTTTATTAAAGGAAATGCATTTTGGGTCTTAATGACCCCTCTTCAGTCTTTAGACTTTACAAAAAAAAAAAAAGAGAGAGAGAGAGAGAGACATGGGTTACATTATACAGAATAATACATATAATATTTTAAAATTTTTAAAAATAATTTACTGATTTTGTTGGTTACAATTGACATTAGATTAGAGAGTATGTTGGGTAATTGACTTGATAATCAGTTTACTAGGGTTACTTCAGGGTTCAGATCATCATTGAGTATGCGGTTGCATCTTGCAGAATGCAGTTGTATCTATATGGGAGGGCAGGGTAGCTTCACCAGATGGTCTAACTATTAGTGACATCTGGAAACACCTCCTCCCTAACAGGTAGTATCCACATGTGATTCTATCCCACCCCACCTCCCCAGATGGCCTCCATCAGGTGAAGCTACCCTCTCATATAGATACAACTGCACTCTGCAAAATGCAACTGCATACTCAAAGATGATCTGAACCCTGCAGCAACCCTAGTAAACTGATTGCCATGTCAGTTGTAACCAACAATCAACCATATAAGTTATTTTAAAAAATTTTGATAAAATATTATATGTATTAAAATTATTCTTTCAATCACTATATCAGTGTATTTCTATTAATAGGACTTATCACACTGGTGTATAAGATTACAGCCTCACAGTTACACAGATTAAAATTGTTTTATTTTACAATTACCTGATTGTAATTGTAAAATAAAACAATTTTAATCTGTGTAACTGTGAGGCTGTAATCTTATACACCAGTATGATAAGTCCTATTAATAGAAATACACTGATATAGTGATTGAAAGAATAATTTTGATTAAATTAAGGACATAGATGCATATTAATTATATTATATGTATTACAGTATTCTGTATAATGTAACCCATGTCTTCTTTATCTTCGCCTTTTATCGTGTTTATATGGGGTCAGTGTTAACTTCTTTAATAAGTTTTTTCTATTTCTCCCTATCAAGAGCTTCTTCTCTCTTAAGTCTCCTTTGGTTCAAGTCTTCTTCCACCTTATCTTCCAATGCATCTTTGGTATTCCTCTTAATGTAACCCATGTCTGTCTCTCTTTTTTTTTTGTAAAGTCTAAGGACTGAAGAGGGGTCATTAATTAAGACCCAAAATGCATTTCCTTTAATAAAAACTACATAAACATATACTGTTTCTTGTGTGATATGCTACTGAAGAAAAAGCCACTAGCTTTTAATTCTTTAGTCTACAAAAACCAGTAACAGAAACCTAATTAAATTATTAAATTTCTATTTGTTTTATAATGTTTTATGCATTGTAATGTCAAAATGTTTTGGATAACATTTTCTCTTAACAATTAGAAGTTTTAATAATTTAAGTTAGAAAAGCATGTGTACTTAGTTAAGAGAAAATTGAATGGCAGTATTTTTAAAAATATTTAGAGAGATGAATTGCTAGAAGTACATAATAACATCATATTCAATGCTTCAGTAATTGATGTAGAATCATTTTAAAAAATGGAATCAAGTGGAATCATTTTAAAAAATGGATCCCAAGTGAAATGTAAAGTGGCCACTTTAGAAAAAGATCAAAAGTGCTACTTATGCTAGACAATCTCATTAGAGAACATTCTCTATCTTGGAAAAGATTATTTCAAGATAGAGAATGTTTTCTAATGAGATTGTCTAGCCTGAGTAGTATCCAGTCATCCATACTGCATCTAATGAAATTGAGGTTTTAGACAAAAGGTGAATATCTGTTCGTCTGTGGAAGACAAGCGAATCTTTGAGAAAAAAGTCATCCAGAATTACATTTAGTGAGAAATGGTGCTCTCTCAAGACAGACAAATGTTTAGCCAATTGGCAACCAACAGACCAAGCAACACTCTCAAAGACACGAGGTGGTGACCGGAATACAGCCTGTTCTCTTGATTTTGATGAAAATAGTTTTTGTTACAAGATATAATATAAGAAGACAAAACTTTGACTGAGCAATTTTGAGGGGGGGGGAAGATTTGTCCAAGGAAACACTTCTTATCTTTGATAGTTTCTGGACTGACTTATTTTTACTATCTGGTCAATTTTGTCATTATGTTGTCTACACTAGGGTTTACTCTACAGTAGTGTTGTCTGACTGTTCTATTGTTGCTAGTCTGCCTATCATAACACATCATTGTCAGTGAGTTTCTCTATTATTTCTTCTCACAACCCTATTCCAATCATTTCTTCAAATGTATGAGGGTTGATTTGATTGCTTGATTTTGGCATTTAATTTCTGCAAAAATTGTAATCTCTCTTTATTCTGATTTGCAAGTTTGATAGTTATAACATTTCTCTATCTCATTCATCAGCACTGAGTGGTTCCAGCAATAACTCAGAAGCCAGGGCTTATAGTCAAATAGCATGTGTGTATATATCCTTATCAGGTAACTGGATGTAATTATGAAATTTCTGAATGTGTAAAGAATATGGCTCTCATTTGAATCAATGTATTAGAGATTGTTTGAATTTGTCATAGGTCATAAGGGTTTTAACTGCCCAATTGTAACCATAGGATATCTTAAACTAGCAACTAGCCCAATTAATTTGCATTTTGCAGTGCTGAGATAATGCTGCTAGTTCATCTAGAGCAGTGTTCCACAACCTTTTTCTACTTGCGGCACACCTATGACTCGACATGATTCAACAAGGCACACCAAAATGTTATTCCCCTCAAAAACATATGATATGATACTATTAATAGAATTTTGTAATGCCATAAACCTATTATTATTATGTTGGGTTTAGTGGGTTATACTCTGTTGACACCGGTGGCTATGTACTATGCCAGACCAGAGTCAAAGCATAGCAACCAAAAAACACTAAATTTAACCCGGCGTGAATGAGGTGAGAAATTGTTACACCAGCTATGAGGTGGGTAGGAGATACCCGAAACTTTGATGCCGAAATTTATATAATATAATTGTGTATAAAGTATTTTTTCACTTGGGATAATAATAGTATCTATTCAACAAGATGAATAAATAAAATATTATGTTTAAGATTGAAAAGCATGTTTTCTTTAATTGAAATAACAAAGTGTCTATATTTTCATTGAAAAAGTACAAGTTTTGGTACTTTAACATTTTTTCGTATAAAATTCTAACAAAATTACAACTTCTTTGGTTAATCAACATAACTATAGTATCTTTTAATTATGAAAATAGAAAAAAAAACTAAAAGGTCTTATGAGATCAATTTGCACAGCACCAACATTACACCTACAAATCAGCACAATCTCCACACACAAAAATCGCATACTTCATACATTTTGGCTTCTCACACTTCGAACAGCAATGTTTTGTTTTCCTATCTGTTTTTTAGTACACTCACCATACCTGACATATTTATTAGCCATTTTTTTGGAAACAGGTAATGAAGGTTCTCACAGTTGATCAGTAAACACTTTTTGAGTTTCCTTGGAAGATGTATTTTTTTGTCTAATGCGAAGACTATCATTTGAGAAATCTAGATATAAATCTAAAAATACTATAAATAACTTACATCGATATAAATCCAGCAAAATTTAATAAAATAAAAATGTTTTCAATCGTTTTTCAACGATCATCCTCAGTTACCAAAAATAGAACAGTAAATATTGAACATAAAATGCGTTCAAAATAAATATAAAAATAAAAATTAACGAAAAGCGCCCTAGNGCGTTCTGCCGGTATCAATGGGAGATACACATGAGCAAAGGTGGCTGGGGTACATCACACCCAACCTAATAGTCGGTGTTACATTTTTGAGTTGACAGTAAGTTTATGACTTATATTTATTTATAGTATATAACCAAAATGTACTGGAGGTAGAATAAGTGGAAAAATAAATTACACTGATATAAATCCAGCAAAATTTAATAAAATAAAAATGTTTTCAATCGTTTTTCAACAATCATCCTCAGTTACCAAAAATAGAACAGTAAATATTGAACATAAAATGCGTTCAAAATAAATATAAAAATAAAAATTAACGAAAAGCGCCCTAGCGGACAAACTAATGAAAAATTAACAAATAAACTAAATAAATAGTGAAAAATTAATAATTGTAAAAGGACCTCCACGCAGTGGACAATGAGTCGGCGTCTCTATGGTTTATACAACCGGTTTTCATGTGCGCTTTATAGATTTCCAACCTCTCCAGATGTTTGATCGTTTGCCTATTAGTCGTCGCTTTTATAATTGATGCTTGATCCCATTGCACGTCTATATCCTGTTGCTTTGTGTATGATGCCAACACAGTGTTATCACGGTTCCTATCGATTGTGTATTTATGTTCCTTGATCCTTTGCTTTAGACCACGCATCGTCACACCCACGTAAACTAGCCTGGAATCAAATCGTTGATCTTCTAAAGGTACCGAATATATACTAGTTGTTGAATTCCGATCCTTTCTTTTTATCGTTTTTATATAAGCTTATAAAAACGGAAGATGATCTTTACAAACAGGACCCTAATCTGCTAACAAATGTCAATGAAAGGTAGTTAATTTATCACAGTCTTACGAAAGAAATTTAAAGCATACATACGTCAAAAAGATTAAATGGATATTCTGATGCCAGAATATTACTCCACAAAAGAAGCGGGAGTTAAGTATCACAGCGTGAGACAGCATTGTTTCGGTCCTCTTTATGCTCCGGCTCCATTACTGCATCCGGAGACCCTCATTCCAGATATTGAGCTCATCATTAAGGATATGAATAGCACGGATCAAGATGTTATTCGATGGAAAAACAAATTCTGCACGGTGCAAGAGAGGAGCAATAACATAAACGCAAGATGTTTTCACCTTAACTTGAAGAAATCGCGCCAATGGTTACTACAGAATAATGTTATATTCACAAGGGCGGATAAATCGAAAGAAGTGGTACTACTAAAACGTTCTAATTACAACGAGAAGCTGAAAGAATATATTACAAACACAGAGTGCCAGTCTACTCCCGTCAACTTCTTGGATACTTTGCAGCATAGGGTTAAGAGATTCACCTCCACTGCTTTAGCACGACGTTTACACATGCAGAATTCTACGATCCTCGCTCCAAGAACACCTAGATTATTTGCATTTGCAAAGATGCATAAACCGGGTAACCAGCTACGTCTGGTCATTGATAAATGTGGCTCCCCAACATTCTTGATTGAAAAGCAGTTAGTCAACTTCTTCCGTGCTAGAGACCACCTACATCCGTTTTCTATTTCCAACTCACTGCAGCTTGTGGAGAGTCTCAGAGACACTTCTCTTACAGACAAGGAATGTATGACTGTATTCGACTACAAATCCTTGTACCCTTCGATAAAATTACCTCCTTGCTTCTGTTCTGTAAGGGATTTTTTATTTGCCAATATAGAAAATGCTCCATCTTATCATGCTCATATCCTGGAATTAGCGTATTTAATTTGTTACACATTGTTTTTTGAGTTTGAAGGAAATATCTTCTTACAAGGAAGAGGCGTGCCTATGGGTAGTCCTACATCTTCAATCCTTTGCAAATTGGTTTTGCGTCAGCTTGAAAACACCATCCTACCCGAATTTCAACAGCAGATCATTTTGTACGCCAGATACATTGACGACATATTCGTACTTTGGCACGAAGAACCTAACCTACAATATTTTTTAAACAAGATCAACAATAACCCTTATGGTTTAACTTTGCAGCTTGACAGAAGAGCCACTCCAGTGTTAACTTCCTGGACATTTCCATTACATGCAAGCAAGGGGAGATCTGGACCGATATTTACCGTAAACCCTGCTTTCAACCCGTTATCATCCCATGCCAATCAATCGATCCCAAGTATATCAAATTGGCGGTTTTCAGATCATGGATTAAACGTGCTTACACACATTGTACAAGTTTTTGCGACACGATAAGGGAGCTAAAGAACATTTTTGAGATAGCCCAACTAAACGGATATCCAAAGGAAGAAATAGAGAATCTTATTTCATCCTTCCAATCCACTGCACAGCATTCTCCCAAGATTGACTGTAATAAACGAATAGTGCTTAATTACATCCCATTTTTGAACAAGATATACAGATCTATTGCCTACAGATATATAGATCTACAGATCTATATACAGGTCTAATAACATACACATTGTATACTGGCGCAATCCCACTATTTTCAAACTTTTGAGAAACGATAAAAAGAAAGAGGATCGGAATTCAACAACGAGTATATATTTGGTACCTTTACATGATCAACGATTCGATTCCAGGCTAGTTTACGTGGGTGTGACGATGCGTGGTCTAAAGCAAAGGATCAAGGAACATAAATACACAATCGATAGGAACCGTGATAACACTGTGTTGGCATCGTACACAAAGCAACAGGATATAGACGTGCAATGGGATCAAGCATCAATTATAAAAGCGATGACTAATAGGCAAACGATCAAACATCTGGAGAGGTTGGAAATCTATAAAGCGCACATGAAAACCGGTTGTATAAACCATAGAGACGCCGACTCATTGTCCACTGCGTGGAGGTCCTTTTACAATTATTAATTTTTCACTATTTATTTAGTTTATTTGTTAATTTTTCATTAGTTTGTCCGCTAGGGCGCTTTTCGTTAATTTTTATTTTTATATTTATTTTGAACGCATTTTATGTTCAATATTTACTGTTCTATTTTTGGTAACTGAGGATGATTGTTGAAAAACGATTGAAAACATTTTTATTTTATTAAATTTTGCTGGATTTATATCAGTGTAATTTATTTTTCAACTTATTCTACCTCCAGTACATTTTGGTTATATACTATAAATAAATATAAGTCATAAACTTACTGTCAACTCAAAAATGTAACACCGACTATTAGGTTGGGTGTGATGTACCCCAGCCACCTTTGCTCATGTGTATCTCCCATTGATACCGGCGGAACGCTAAACTCAACACTGTGCCTCGCCCCCCACTCCCTTACCTCCAGCTACTGTGACAACATGATTTGTGTGGCAACAATAACATTAAATAATCTGTGTTTAAAATCTCGGGTATGACATACCCAACCTCACTCACGCCGAGTTAAATAAGTGTGTCAGTGTCTATATTCAGGAAATCCTAACAATTTGGCATGTATTCAATATAGTGGCCTTCTGTAGTGTGATGTATGTATTTCTATTCAATTGTAATGTTCCCAGGCTTTTGTGTAGTGTGTGTGGTATCACACCTGTACAGGAGATAAGCACCCTATCCATCCTCCACAGATGCCTCATTTCCTGGGAGAGTTCTGTGTACTTGCTAATTTTTTCAGTGCATGTATTTTGTACATTGTGAGTGTTTGGAATGCCTATATCTATAATGTATGTGATTTTATTGTGTTTGTCAATGAGTGTGATGTCTGGTCTGTTGTGGTAAATTGTTTTATCTGTGATTATGGCTCTGTCGTAGTACAGTTTGTGTGTGTTGTTTTCCAATACTGTCTGTGGAATGTATATGTAGTATGGTTCATGGATGTCTAATAATTTGTTTTTCTTTGCAAGCTCTTGGTATATTATATTTGCTACTTGATTATGTCTGTGTAAATAATCTGTCTGTGCCAAGAGCTTGCAACCAGAAGTGATGTGTTGTATAGTTTCTGGCATGATGTGACATTTTCCACATGTGTCATTTGTGAGTGTTGTATCTTTGAGTATGTGTTTTCTGTAGTTTTTAGTATTTATAACCTGATTCTGTATGGCAATCATGAATCCTACCGTCTCCTCAAAGAAGTATCCCCGATCTAACAAGCTGTTTGACGCAGTTTTGTCAACAAAATTTTGGGCCAGGTCATAACGATGCCTGCCATGGAGTGCCTTTCGAGCCCATGATTGCTTGATGGTGTCTATGCTTTTTATATGTTGTGTCAAGTCTGTATGATGTGAGTGTAAGTTTAATGGTGTGTTATTTGAGTCTGCTAGAGTTACTGCTTTATGTAACTGTGATGTTTCTTGTTTCCTGTAGAAAAACTCTCGCAGTGACTGTATTTGTTTGTAATGAAGGTTAACTATGTTGATCAGGCCACGTCCGCCATCTTTACGTGGAAGGATTAATCTTTCTATGGAGATTTAGGATGATGATGTTTATGCTTAGTAAGTGTTGTTTTTGTTTTCATTTGGAGTTGCTCAAGATCTGTATGAATCCAATGTATAACTCCAAACGAATAAGTGAGTACTGGGACGACATATGTGTTTATTGCTTTAACATCATCTTATCATCTGTATTCATCAGTGAATGAAATACAAGCATAAGAAACACAACAACTGTGATAAAAATATATAAATAAAACTTGAAATTAATAGAATATGTAAAAGTTCACATCACACCAGTTGTGGAACACTGATCTAGAACATCAAAAAAGTGTGATTTTGCTCTCTTGGTTTGCCTGGGTATATGGGAATCATACCATCTAACTGAAAAAAATGCCACCAGCTAATTCACTTGCACATGTCTGAGAGGATGACGCCTTTCTTCTCTCCATCATTATCAAATATGACTTTGGAATCACACTCTTCTGATACTAGAGGTCTGCCCCTTTTGTTTTGGGCAATTTTCAGTTAGGCCTGGACAATCAGCCTGTGTGAACCTCACTTAATAGTTTAATGTCCTTTTTGTAAATTTTTGTCCGATGAAGATAATTATGATTAATTCTTTTGAAGACAAAGTCCTTTCCATAAAAAATAGGAATCACCATTTATTAACTTTGTGTTCCAGACATTACATTTTTGGCAACTGATCTTTTCTTTTAGGCTACTGGCTGCCAAACAGTCCTTTAAAAAAAACACAAAAATATCCAATTAAAAATATAAACATTTTTTAAAAAACAGGAACTGGTAATGTTTGGACGTTTTCTATTTTCCATCATACTTTCTTGGGGTTGTTTCAGCTTTTATCTACAACAAAATAAGTGCTGGTAAAATGCAGATGAGGAAAGCTGGTCCCTGATGACAATACTTTAGAATTCTTTTTGTAAATTTTCGTTTGATGGAGATAATTATGATTAAGTTTAATTATGAAAAGTGAATGTTATATGGGTCTAACAGAGTGGCTGCTGATGCAATTTAGTGAATAATCTCTTCATTTTCTCTAATCAAATAGAAGATTACAACCATTCCTCTGAATTCATGAGAGATAGGTTTACAAATATATTTCTTTAAAAAATAAACAATGTTATACTAATCTCAATGGGTCTCCTCAACGACATCAGTGAGTAGCAACAAAGATGGTTGATGGTAATGGAGGATGGTTTGCTTGAATGGTCACTGGATATGGCTGGATGGCTTTTTTGATGTCTACCCACATGTGTCAGTGTTACAAATTCCACTAAGTGTGTCTCTTTTCACTTTTGTTCTCTTGGGCTTTTTATCACCAATTTTTATTGGTGGTTAGTCCAGTGGCGTAGTGAACGTAACTGGCGCCCAGGGCACGACACTTTATTGGTGCCCCCTCCCCTTCCAGAAACACATATAGTTTGTCTTGGAGACCATTTGGGTACCCCTCTGCGAGTGGCGCCCAGTGCATGATACACATCCTTGCATCCCCTTGCTACGCCACTGGGTTAGTCCAAATTTGAGAAGTTTTGTTTTTCCAACAGAGATTTGAAATGCTGAATAATGTGCATCATCACAGTAGGATGAGTTTAATAGTACAGTAGAACCTCGAATTGGGGACTGGGGTTGGTCGGATAACCGAAAAGTATGAAAAAATCCATTATTAGTGTAGTATATTATTATATCCCATGTAATTAGTATATTAGTATATCGCTATTAACCTATTTTGCGTTGAATTTTCATCGATGTTAAGCCTAACAAAAATTTTTTAAAATAATAATCGTCGCTATTGTATCGTTAAAAATTAGAAAATTAAGCTTCGTTTAAATACTGGCTCCCTTTCATGGTCGAATGAGTGTTGCCAGCTAAAACACGTAAAAATAATATTAAAGTAGCCAAGACATAGCCAAATATTGTAGCGCCACACCACTAGCGGACATTTGAAATTTGCCGACTAGGACAGTCGGTTAACCGAGGGGTCGGTTGATCGGGGGGCGGATAATCGAGGTTCTACTGTAATATATGACAGATTTCTAGGTACAGTTCCATTTGTTATACAACTTTTATATTAAAAAAAAAAACAACAACAAAGTTAGAATTTAAAGTCTATGATTTTGTAATATTGCAGACTGTACATAATTTCCTAGTGAGGGAAAAGAGTTAAAAGAAGTAAAACTCATAATGAAATCTTATTTAAAAGATTACAGCATTTTGAACAAAATTAACAGAAAATAATTTTAATATCGATAATAAAATTATTTTGTGTAATTTTTCAGAGTTTATTATATTATTTTTACTGGACAAAGGAAATTATTTGTAAAACAAAGTAAAATCATACAATAAACAACCAAAATCAAAACAATTGCACTTTTTTATTTTCACTCTTGATTTCCATACTTGAGAGAGTTAATAAACAGCTGAAATCAGATTAGGGGGTTGCCAGTGAACACGGGTGAACAGGTTTCTACATTACAAAGTTTAAAAAATAAAACAAAAAGGTAATCTCATCTTTAGTTTTAATTTTGTTAATTAATATTTTATATTAAATTTAATTCAAAAATTGGAATTATTTTTAATGTTAGAATAAGATAACAGTCTAATATTTTATATTTTTGTTTTATTGTTTTATATTTTACTACTAGCCCGGGACGCCCCCTAGTGGGCGTTGTTTACAAATTTCCATGAAGCACGGTTCCTTTGACTTTTTTGTTCCTATCAATATGCTGTACAGCTCTGTTAAAGTCCCAATGGTAAGATTAGGTGAAGAGGTGGCGACCCCCCAAACTGTAGCCCCTTGTGCGAACAATAAAGGCAAAGGAACCATACCCCTACTCGCGACCCTT